TGTAACTGGGGATTGAACCCAGGCCCTTTCCCTTACCAGGCAAGCGCTTATTGTACTGAGTTATCTCCCCGGCCCCTAGTCTAATTATCTTATGTTTTTTTTTTTTTTTTTCCAGAACCGGGGATTGAACTCAGATCCTTGCACTTGCCAGGGAAGCGCTTATTCCACTGAGCCATCTCACCGGCCCCTTGGCTTTGTTTTTAAAAGAACTTGTGGTTACATCTGAGTGTTGGTCAGGAGAACGATGGTGATTCCCTTGTGAAGGGTCTTCTTAAAGTGGCTCTTAATTTTAAAAGCCTCCATGTTATTCTTAAGAGTAGAAGCTATGGGCAACTGTGTAAAAAGGCCCTTCCATATTATGAACGAAAGCATCTGGAGATGAATGCAAGATGGTTTTTGTCACAGTGAATTTTGCTTTATACTAAAATACATTTAAATAAAATCCTACTTACCATAAAGCAAGTATAAATAAAGGTATTCACTCAACACAAAAAACTGTTGCTGCTGAAGAGTCTGGTTCCTACCACCAGAGTTTAACACGGAAAATGTAATTTCCTTATTTCTGTGGAATTCTCTCAAGCTTTTAGCATCTTACAATAGTAAATAGTGGCACTAGTTTAAGTCTATATAAAACATAAGTATCACAAGTGACACAAACATTGAACTACCACACAGACATTCCTGTACATCTTCAAAAACGACTGTGGGTAACAACCGTAATGCATAATGCTCCGAAGGACCCCAGCAGGACTTCAGTGACAGGCACCATACATGACACATGTGAGAATCACACTCTGAAAGGCTGCAGCATGGTGCTACCTCGCAGAATAGCCATGCTCTGTGCCCTCCCGAGGAGGCTCCCAACAGAACTGGTCCAGTCTCTCTGCTGTTTCTTGGCTGATGAGACATTCATCCTTCAAGTCTCTAATCGTTTTCCTCAGTGCTTTTTGGAAATACTTTTCTCGGTCTAGAACATTGCGCAGACTTTCCTGGGTGTCCTCCAGCTGGCTGATCACATGATCTAACTTATGTTTGAGTTTCTTTGGACTGTCCATTACACTGTAGCTGTGCTCCTGAAAACACAAAAGCTGAATCATTCAACAATACATTAGATAGAGGCTTGTTTCCAGGCTTCAGCTGTTTTCTCATTTATGATGCCCAGTGCAGATCTCTGAGGGGGTGATTTTGGAGGTGTAAAGAGTCTAGAAGAGGATGGGGTGGAAGTAAAGCAGCACATAGGTCTTTTTGCTCTCCAAGACCAGAAAGACAGGAGGTACACAGAATATCACAGATGATCTGGGTGCGCATCTGCTACAGACACCTGGACACTCGTACCAACTACGTAGCTTCATTGCTTGTGTGGCATCAGTAAGCTCAATTTTTATCTACTACTTTATTTTGAAGACTTTCAGTTCAGAAAAGTGTAAGGCAGAGGGCACTGGGCTCAGTGGGTGGAGGGGATCTGAACAGGACTCTGGTTTTGGAGCTTTGCAGCAATAACAGCACTCCTACTGAGGCGTATTATGGTTATGATTATATATACAGACATGTTCATTTAAAATGGAAAATAACACTAACATCTTATAAAAGGGTATCAAATAATAAAGATGAAGAGCTGTTATTGAGAAGGAATAGTTAAAAAAAAAAAAAGACAAATGAAAATCAAAGTAGAGAAGGCTGTGGCACAACTTCAGGCAGCGTAATGTGTATGTGGTCAGTGCTCCCAAACGACAGGAAAGCAAAGCTGGGATACAAAGAAATGTTTGAAGAAACTATGACCCCAAATTTTCCAAGACTGACAAAAAATATAAATCCAGAGATAACAAACCTCAACAACACATTCCAACCACCAGAAAACTAAACCAAAGCATATCATAATTAGATTAACCAAAACTAGTACAAAATATTAAAAGCAAAAGGAAAAGAAACAAAGTATAACAGTTTTCATCTGACAAAACACACATAAAAATACAGTGGAACTACAACTTTAAAAATGCTAGGACCAAAAAACCTCAAAATTACAAACCTTGAATTTAATATTTAGTGAAAATATTAGTGAAAAAACCCCTGAAGACTAACAGATGACTCAGACACAGGACTGTTGAAGGGTTTAGCACTGCGTTACTGCTCTGTACAAGTCGGCGGAAGTCCTTCCAGTGATACCCGCTGGGTGGAGATGCGGCTCACACCACGGCCTGAAGGACATCAGGAAGGCAACCACAGGGAAATACCAAGTTTCTTTCTTACCATTGAAGTCTCTACAAAATGATCTTTGTTTAAAAAGAAATGATGACAACACCATCTAGAGTCTAGTGTGTGTAAAGGTAGAACACAGAAGAGTGGCGGCAAAGGCGTGTGGGCAGGCAAGGCTGCGGTGCATAGCTGTGAGAAGCGTACCACGAGCCCAGGGTGGGTAACTTACAGTGTGGCATAAACCTAAAGACAACTACTAAGAACAGAGTTCTAGCTCATGCATCAAAGAAGAAGGTAAAGCGGAAGCAAAGAGTACTCCGTCTAAAAGTAGAAAATAAATGGGAACAAAAGCAAATGGAAAGGAGGAGGAGGGAAGGAGGAGGAGGAGGAAGAGAAGGAGGAAAAGGAAAAGGAAAAGCAGAAAAGAAAATGGAGTAGAAAACAAAGGAAAAGAATCACAGGTTTCACCCTAATATCAAGGGTCACATCAAGTATAAATGTCTTAAGTAACCCAATGAAAGGAAGATTATCAGTCTGGACTAAAAACAAATGAAAACAAGACCCAAAACTACATGCTGCCTACAAACAGAACAGAACAAAACAAAACAAAACAAAACAAAACAAAACAAAACAGTATTTCAAAGATGATACCACTAATAAAAGCTGATCAAGAGAGCCACAATGACAAGAGGAATAATGATGCAGGCTACGGTGGCAACAGAGTCAGCCCAGGGCAAACATGACTACCAACTGTAATGAAAGTAGGTTTGTAACATTTACCAAACCTAAGTTATACCTGGTAACAGTGCTTTAAAATATAATAAGCAAAATTACTGACAACTGCAAGGAAAATCAGACAAATCTCCAACTATGCTATAGTATTTTAACACTACTTTCTCAAAAACAGACTAAAGAAGTACAGGAATTAAGTAGGGATAACAAAGCCTCAGAACATATCGAACAGCTTGCGCTCACTGACAAACACAGCCCAGGTCAGATCACAATGCCCCATTGCACATGTACAGAGAAGCTTGCCAAGATGGACCATCATGCTGGGCTGTAAAATACACCTCAACACATGCACAAAGGGTCAGGCTCTGCCCTGGGTATCCTTCAGCCACAACACAATTAGCAATAACAGATCTGGAGAACCTTCAATATTTGGAAATTACATGACATACTTAAAAATGAAAAATAACAGCAGAGCATGGTGGCACACATCCGCAGTTACAGCATATGGCAGGAGGATAGCACAAGTTCGAGGCCAGTAGCGTGTTCAAGGCCACCTTGCACTGCTTAGCGAGACCTTGTCACAAAATAGAACAAAATGAGAAAAAACAAATCAAAATATAATTTGAAAGTATTTTGAACTGAGCAATAATAAGAACACAACATATTTAATTTGTGGGAAATAATACTTGGGGAGAAATTAACACCATTATTGAAGAAATACTTTGAGAGAATACTATTTAAACAATAAGCTCAGCTTCCACTTTAGCTATAAACAGATGAATACATTTTCCTGAAGTAGAAAAAAAGAAATAACGAATGAAAATCAGCGAACTAGGCAGAAAATCAATAAAAGCTAATTACTGACAAGATCAATAAAACTGTTAAATCTCTAGGGCTGGTAGGCAATCCAAGAACAGAAATGACCAGAAATGATCAGAATGATTGAAAAATCACTACAGATTCTATAGTTATTAAAAAGATAATAAAAAATGGTGCAAAAAACCTTAAATTAATACATTTGACAAGTGTGGTGAAATGGACAAATTCTTTGAATACATTAAAAAAAATTTTGTTTTTTTGTGGAACCAGGGATTGAACTCAGGCCCTTGCACTTGCCAGGGAAGAGCTTATTCCACTGAGCCATCTCCCCAGCCCCTCAAAAAACCCTCACAAAACCCAAACTTCCTAAAATGAAAACTACAAGTCCAGATAGCATTGGAGAACAAGTCTATCAGGGTGGGAGAAGCAGCTGGGGAGGCTGACAGGAGGATCACTGTGAGTCAGACTTGTGTAGCAAAACGCTATACCAAATACATAAAGATTTTTTAAAAATTAAAAAAAGTCTATCAAATATTTATCGAAGAAATAGCAACATCCTACACAAACTTTTCCAGTATATCAAAAATGTTGGCACTATTTTACAACTCATTCTTTGAAATCAGTTATTATTCTGATGCTGAAACTAGACAAATACACAATAGTAAAAACAAAAGAAAAAGAAATCCTATAGGTAAAATATCTTTCTTAAACATGTAAAGAAAGCCTGGCATGGTGGCACATGCCTGTAATCCCAGCACTCGGAAGGCTGAGGCAGGAGGATTGTGAGTTCAAGACCAGCCGGGCTACAAAGAGAGCTCAAGGCCAGCCTGAGCTGCATAAAGGGACCCTATCTCAAAAAGGCAAAACAAACAAACAAACAAACAAACAACATATAAAGACTAGACAGAAATTTGACAAATAGAATCCAACAATATAGAACATGGATAATGCATGTTATCCCAGGAACAAAAGGTTGGCTAAACGTCTGAAAATCAATTTATATAACTCATTATATTAAGATATAGCATTTGGCAAAACCAACATCCACTTCTGATAGACTCAGCAGGTGGAGAACACAAAGGCACCTCCTCCACCAGATAAAGGCACTCCTGACAGCTACAGCAAAGGTCACAGCTGCCAGTGGAAGCCGCAGGCCCTCCTGCCACAGCTGGGGCCAGAGCAGGAGATCAGCTCTCAGTTCCTCTATTCAGTAGTTTTAATGGCCGAGGGCAGTGCCACAGAAGAAATGACTGGCATCCATGCTGAAAGGGGAACCGACACGCCTCAATCACAGAGAACGTAATGATGTAAGTAGGAAATTTGTTGCAACTAATGTTTGAATTGGGCCAGTTTGTCAGATGTAGCATCAGTGCACAAAAGTTAAGTTCCATATCTAGCAGCAAACAAAACAGCACCATTTATATCAGCATCCAAATGTACAAAATTTCATGGCATAAGTTTGGCCAAGTGAAATAATACTTGGCTCCTGAAGCCAAAACAATGCTGAGATTACCTCAGTTACCTCAACAGAGATATTCTGAGTTCATGTGCTGAGGATCATTAAGCTGTTAAATTTCCCAAATGGATCTACAGGTGAAACGCAAAATAGAATGCCAGCCAGCTTTTGGGCAGAAATTTACAGTGACTCTAAATTCCTGTGAAAATGTAAATAACCTGGAACAGCCAAAACACTTTGAAAAATAGAGTGGATTAATACATTTTTCAAGAATTGTTGTAAAGCTATAGTAAGAGATTTACATCTTGGCACCAGCAGAAACAGGCTACAGATGAGTAAACACAAGCTTGACTACTCGGTATGTATAAGACTGCTTTAAAGAAAACAATCACTGCTTTTGTTAGATTTTTCCATACAGAAAACATATAGAACATCCTTGAAAAGGCATTCTTTGAACTAAATTAAAGACTTACTTTAGTAAAGGATTAAGTAATTTTACACTGTATTTGCATACAAATTACAATGACCTTGGGAAGCACTATTTAGATATTACATGTTAAAAAGACCATGAACACATAAATTCCTAGCTTTTGTTAAGATTCTGCAAAGTTTGATCTTGATGGATAGGGCATACTCATCTTAAAAGTATTAACATTAGTTCAATAAATAATTTTACTTACAAAAATGAACTGAGATTGGAACTTTTCAATGTACGAAGAAGCACCGATGAGTTGGTGGTCATGGTTTGTGACCGGAAGGGTTCTGAGAGTGAAGTTTTTCCTATAGTGCAGCTTTTCTTTCTTCTCCTGTTAGGAAGTTAACAAAAATCATTGAGTTCCCTTTTTTTTGGTACATGGAACTAAGCCAGGACCTTTGCACTGAGCTAGGTCCCAGCTATTTCACTTTTTACGCTGAGAAGAGTCTTGTTAAGTCATTAACTTGCTGGCTAGGCTTGAACTTCTGATTCTCCTGCCTCAGTTTGTCAGAGTGCTGAGGTGACAGGCATGTGCCATGACAGCCAGGTTGTTTTTTTTCTTTCTTTGGGATAGGTCTTCACATTGCAATTCAGGCTGTCCTTAACTATGTACCCCTGCCTGGCCTCAAATTTGTGAGTACTGGGATTATTGGTGTGCATACCACACCCCGATAAATTTTATTTAACTTTGTGCAGTTTAATGACTACCTTATTTTCATGAAAAATGTTTTAGAAGCCAGTAAATTCTAGAAGTTAGATTACTGTAACAGAAATTTTGAACACTATAGTTTACATGGAAACACAAATTTTCCTAAAAATGAAGTGAAAATCTGGTAGGATATTTCCTCTCAGCTATTGAAAATATAGTACACAATAAAAATAGTTAAAATACTGCATTTTTTTTAGTACTAGACAGAAGTATCTAGACATTAATAAAGTAGATAAATGCCTTTAGTGGCAACCTAAAAAACTGGAGAAAGGCTATAAACCATATAAAAACTATTTAAGAAAAGCAGTTATATGGAGCTGGTGAGATGGTTCAGTGGTCTAAAGCACCTTAGAACAAGCTTAGCAAAGCACAAGCACTGTGGTTCAATCCCCCAGCACGACATGCCAGCCAGCCCCACCCTCTAGTGGGCTGAGCTGGCCACAGACACACACACACACAAATAAAAAAAAAAAAAAAAACAAACCAGTTGTATTCTTTATATATACCATTTCCTCCAAAATACCTAATTTCAGGGACTGTCCCTCCTAAAACCATGCTAGAAGTTGTTTGCCAGATAGGTCTTGTTTTTGGAGAAACGTAAGTCTGTAACCACAATGAAAATTATAGTATTACAAACTAATGTAGGGCTGGCCAAAGAGCTCAGTGGATTAAAGAGCCCGCAAGCAGGCACAGGGGCCAGGAGTTCAATCCCTGGGACTGCCATGCTGGCCCTGACCCCAGGGTGCGCTGAGGCAGCAACTGAATCTGGGCATGGTGGCGCATGCCTATAATCTCAGCTCTTGGGCGGCTGTAAACAGGCGGATCACTATGAATCCAATCTAGTAGTGAGACCCTGAACACCCTGAAGACCCTTCCTTAAAATACAAAAAACAAAACAAAAAAAACTAATGTGAAACTGAAAACAATAAGGAACTAGAAAATAATAGGGAACATTTTAAGGTGGTGAAGTCTAAAATCATGTAAGAAAATATATTTTATTGACTACAGAGCAAGTCTAAATTTGAAAAAAAAAAGCCATAATCACAAAACCAAAAGGTCACTATGACATAAATGGCAGTTAAATGACTGATATCGTTTTTTAAAAAATAGCTTAGAAAAAAAAAATCAAACAAACAGAAGACCTAGTTTTCTCAAGACATACAAATGTTCAATAAACATAAAAAATGTAGAAATGCATTAATGTTTAAAGATGAATAAAAACAATCGGCCTTTTTTTTGGTCTTAAGACACGCTAAGGACTTGAGTGGGCGATGCCCTTATGCATAGCTGGTGGTGCGCAGGATGGTATAAGCATTGTAGAGCTTTGGGAGAGCTGTATCAGAAGCCAAGCTTTAAAAATCTGTTACTCACTGATCTTATTCCAAGGAATTTAGTTCAAGGAACTAAGGATACGCACAAAAATTCTGCTAGAACAATACTCATTTCAGTGCTACTTACAGTGGTGAAAAATACATGACGACCAAGTACAACAGTGAAGACTGGTGACTAATCACTGCTCATATGCAGGACTGTTTTATGGTCATTCATACCCGCTCCAGCAGACACCATGGGGATGCAGAGGAACTTCTGTGTTGATGTTGGGACTCTGAATTTGAAACTCACTTTGGAAAACTATAGCAACATCTACTCAAACTGAATGTGTATCACCCTGACCTCAGTATTTCCGTTTGTAATGAAAGTATGTAGGCACTCTAAAAAAATGTATACAAGAGACATGGAAAAAATGTTGATTGCTACACCATTTATAATAGCTTCAAAGAAAAAATAGCCCAAATGTTTACCCACAGTTGAGTGGAGAAATGAGTTTATTTAACAGAATATTTTATCACAAAGAAAATAAATGGTCAGCCATCATGACTACATGGATGAATCCTAAAGAAGCTAAAGAAGCTGCAGTGCACTGTGGGCAGGGCTACATTTAGACAACTGGTAGTGATATAGGTCAAGGCGGTAGCAATCTCTAGCTAACACTGTCAAGCAGTGTCACTGCTTGGCCTGAGATAAGTCATATGAGTGTGTTCACTACTTGAAATTCAGTGATTTGTACACTTAGGATGCATACACTTTTCTGCATCTTACACACATGATCCACAGATCTAAAGCGCAAGGCAGGATACTTGTTTAAAAGTGCAAACTTTATGAATCAAATTCTCTGGGAGTGGGGCACAAGACTCTGTATTTTTTAAAAACCCTCTGAATAATTCCTGCATAGACTAATGATTAAAAGCCATCGATGTGTGCAAGTACTGCATTTAACATCACAGAGTGTAGTACTTAAAAATGAAGTCTGGAGCTAAAGTGCCCATCAGCCTCTGCTGTTAACAGAAGTGTGGTCTAGGGAAGGCATCCCAGCTCTCTGGGCCTCTGATGCCTCAGACGAGGAAAGGAGTAAGAGCATTTCCAACCTATGGATGTTCCAACAAGTCAGTATATAGGTAGAGTGGGGGGAAAGGAAAGGACAGTGTACCCCTGTAAGATGTAAATAAATGAAGTGAATTTGTACAGACCATGTACAAAGGACTGGAAGGGTCCATAACCAAGCGTTCACAGTATTATCTCTGGATGATCTGTGCAGTATTTTAATTTTTCTTTCTATCATCTAATTCCTATTATAATAAAAGTTGTTAAAAGGAAACAGATTTGGGAAGTTAGTAACTTAAGGTTTAATTCATTATGCCCTCATTTCTTAAGGTCCCTTTTACAGTACAGCTAGCTATAACAGTGCTTGTGGCAGGAAAAAAGGGAGAAATCATCCTTGAGGCTGCTTGCTGAGGGGAAGGAAGCAAGCTGTCTCCAGCTAAGGCACTGCAATGTGCCCACCATGGAGGTGCAGCCTGCTCAGGAGGAGATAGTGGGGCTCAGGACCACTGTGTCTCTAGCTGGCAGAGGAGGCCTCTGGGCAGATGCCTCCTTGAGTTTCCCCCTGGGACCTATCCCTCTGACAACCGTTTCAGGAAGCAAGTACTTGCCCAAATATTTGACCTCAAGAGATTTTAAGGGAGAAGCTGCCAATCCATGGCACCATCCCTGAGAAGATACAGGACTCAACGAAGTTTACTCAACCCTTCTCTTTTCTTTCTCTGACTTCTCTTTCTGTTCTCATCTCTCTATCTGGGTTTTCTTTCTCTTGCTTCCACCTAAGGTTTACACTTGTTTATACCTGGCGGATCTGGGAAGCTGTGTGTCCGTGACTTTACTCAACTTTTTTTAGACTGTCAATGTGGAACTTAAGTTCAACCTTATGTTGTGGATATTTTTATTCAGAGGTTAAGTGTAGGAAAATTTATTGGGGAACAGGAATGGGAGAGGTATGGGGAATACGAATAGCAACCTTATGCTAACCTCCATTTTTTTAAAGACACAAATCTTGATTTGTATGAATTCCTGAGTTAGTGTACTTTATTATACTTCATCATGAAACGATGTGCCTAACAGTAAAACGATGTGCCTACTACACAGTGGGAAAATGGAAGTTGCAGTCTATAAATTTAAAAACTCAGAGAGTACACTTCAGATGAATAAACAACAAAGAGACAGGTAAGAGAGGCAGATAATTCTTCAATCATGCCACTGAAAGTGAGCATTAATAGTAAGTAGTATCTCATAAACCAACCTGTAATTGGTATGGGGAATCAAATATAGATGGGATGACTCCTGGTTTTAGTTTAAGATTTGGAGCACTTCTGTCAAAATCTGTCTTCTTAAAGTGCCTTGAACACAACACATCTCCTTTCTTGGGCTCCCAAATGCCTGCAGTATTCACATCAAGTCTTTTCATTGCTAATACCCACTTTCTTTTGACATTTTCATCTGTGGGGAATCTAGAAAGAAAGACAAAACAAACTTAAAGCCAATCAATACTTACTAAAGCTGTCCTACACGACTGTGGCTAGACTGTTTGCTTCCCTAGTTTGTCACTATTCTTGGGAACTGCAATATTCAGGAAGCTATGATGCATGCTCAAGAAACTCAGATTTAATATCCTCACTTTGGGGCCAATTCTGCAGGTATACAGCCTTTATTTTTCTCCTGAGAGAAAAGTTTCAATGATGTTTAGCATACTATTATAAAATCCATGAGGTTTATGAAGCGTTATCTAGAACTGCTCTCCAAGAGCCCTCTGCGCTTCCTTTTGTCAGCACCAGCGAATTGCTCAGCCTAGCAGGCCTATGCTTAGTGGAAGAATGAAAGAACAGCAGTAAAATCTAGATTCTGGACATCAGGAATATTCTGAGACATCTAGAGGCCAGAAATCATATCTTTCTCAATTTTCCATGGTAGCTCAAATCTTTTTTTGGAAATAAGGTGGGCATAGATACTTACTTCTTAATTCTATATTCCTAGAAAACTAGCTAGCAGATCTTTCTCTAGCACATACCACAGTCCCTGGCACAAAAGCAGCAAAATCAACTTCTAGCAAAGGAATAATGATTAAATCCTATTACTCCTCTTCTATTGATGCATGGGAAATGGCTAAAATAAAAGATCATTTTATCTGCAATACTGCTCGGTCTAAATTGTAATTTATACTTTACGAACTATGGTTGATCATCTGTTTCTTAATAGAAAGGTTAATCAACACATTCTAGTAGAGATCCTTCATATGTTGTAAGCAACACAGGCCTTTCTTTTTGTCTGTCTTTTGAGACAAAGTCTCACTATGCAGTTCAGGATGGCCTCGAACTCACAGCAATCCTCCTGCCTCAGCCTCCCACAAGCGCTGGGATGACAGGCATGCACCATCATGCCCGGCTTGAAGACTTTTAACGAAAAAACCCCCACAGTGTTAAAGCACAGCGTAACAGCCTTAGCAAAAATGAGCTTCATAGTATTTTTTTTAAACGAGTCTGACACCTTCGTAGTTATCTTAAAAATTACAAAAAAGAAACGGTGCCACTGCGAATTTAACAAAAAGCTTATTTAGTAGCCTAACTTTAAGGATACCTAACAGTTATCTGGAAAATAGGAGTATCCAAAACAGTGCCCCTGGCACTTGGGAACTTCGGGGTTCCGCACTGGAGCAGCTGTCTGCTCCGTGCAAGGGAAGCGCCCGGTGGGCGGCAGCGGGTCTTACGCGTGGAAAGTCAGCCCTCTCAACTTGGAATTGGGGAGACAGCGAGAAGCGCATCCGATGGCTGAGCAGCATTTCACCATGACTTCAGCAGCTCATCACGGCGCTGAAAGACAATTATAGCGGGAAGCTTGGGTGACTCCGAGGCCGGAGGGGGCGGATCCACCTCTGCCAGCGTGCGGGAAACTCGCGGCGGCGCCGGGCACCAGCGGAGTCCTCGCGCCCTGTGCTCGGGCGCCGGCCGCCCCTTGTCTCCTCCAGGCCTGTCGGCACCCCGCTCCTCCGCTTGCCCCGAACTCCGGTCCCCGCGTCCTGCGCGCAGCCCGCGGCCCCCGGTCGCCCCGCGCCCCCGCCGTCCGTCGTCTCCGCGGCCCAGGCCGAGCCCGCTGTCCTCACTTTTTGTCCTGGCGGCCCCGCGGTGTCCGGCGCGGGTCTATGTTCCCGCGTACCCAAGTGAAACAAGCGCCGGAGGCCCGGGAGCGTCAGGCGGCGCGGGGGAGGCAGAGCTTCCGAGACGCGGCTAGCGGAGAGGCGGGGAGAAGCCAGGACGCGCGGGGCGAGGACGGCAGCGGCGGCGACGGCGCGCTCACTTCCGCCCGGCGCGCGGAGACCGGAAGTGTTCGTCACGTGACGGCCGCCATCTGCGGGCCGGCGGCGCGGTCGGGCGGCTGGTGGCCTCCGGCGTTGGGGATGGCTGAGGCGGCGCGCGGGCCGAGGCCGCCGGGCTGTGAGCACTACGACCGCGGATGCCGGCTGAAGGTGACTCGCGGGTTGGGCGGGGACGGGCGGCGACTCGAGCCCCGCGTGCGGTGGCCCGCCGAGTTACGGTACGGGGCTGGGAGAGTCGCGGCGGTGCGGGGCGGCCCGGGGCGTGAAGGGGCGGCGGTCCTCGGCGGGTGACAGGTGGGTCCCGTCGACCGCGCCCGCCCTCTTGCGAGCCCCATACGCGGGGGACGAGGCAGACTGGCAGTGAGGCGTGGAAAAGCGCCCAGGGAGCGTGTGTTACCGTCGCTGTTTACTTGAGAGTCTGGAGGGTCCGGGTGCTCCTTGCACGAAAGCAGTGTAAGCCTGGGCTCGGGCTGGGAGCAGCCTGGAGCTGGAGTAAGACCCCAGAGTAGAGACGGCCCGGGCGTCACTCTCAGAGCCCCACCCCCGCGAGAGGGAAAGTCGGCTTGAGCTTTGATTCTCTACACTCTTGTCCTCAAGTCTTACCTGTGCCCTCCAATAGCGGGGTGACTTTGAGCAAGCGCCTGTTCAGTGCCCCGTGCGTAAAATAGGGATCTTAGCTACAGGATTGCAACTAGAGTATGTCTTAGGTGCGTTCTCGAGTGACTGGTAAATATTAGTTAACTACTACCACCATCATCCTCATCACCATTTTTTTTGGTCCGTTTACTTCACCAGCCAGCCTTTGTGGTTCCGGACTAGAGATGAGAACCAGGAGGTAGTCTCGGGGTGTACGGAGAGCCGAAGCCTTCTCTGCGGGTTACTGCATTGGTTGAAGCTCCTTCAAATTTACTGAGATCATCAATCACCCTTCAGAATTGGTGTCTGAAAGGAATTGAACATCTTGCCCTCTCACTCCTCCGAAGAAACTAGACAACTCTTTCTTAGCACTGAGCTACTTGACCCTGAGGAAGCTCAAACACTTCCTTTTCTCAGAATACTAGAGGTCAGTGAAGAGTGTCCAGGAGGAAGTGATATCAGCTCAAGCGCAGCTGTTTTAGTGAGCTGGGAGCTGAGACTAAACCTTTCAGTTTGGCTAGGAAATGAATGATTATGGTGACCTAGTGAAGTGAATGTTGTTGGGAAGATTGGGATAACAACTGATTGGAGCAGATTCAAGAGAATTGAACAACTGGAAATAGCATGCATAAAACGTTTGTGACGTTTTGCCTCTGAGTTTTGTTGGAGAGGAGGGAGAAAAAAAGGAGACTGTTATTTCTAAAAGATGGGATCATGGGATTTTTTTCCCTCTTTTAAGCAAGGAGATGTTACAGCATCTTTGTATATTGTTGAAATGATCTAATAGAGAACATGTTATAATGTGGAAGTAGGAGGAAGACTTGTAAGGGGGAAGGTGTTACAAGTTTTAAAGAGAGGAGCAAATATGGTCATTTATATCTTTTTTTTTAATGTTTAGTACAGGGTGTACACGGTCTCACTACACAGATTGGACTTGTAGGGATTCTCCTGTTTTCAGCCTTCCGCATGCTGGGATTACAGCGCCACCATGGCCAGTCTCAATCACTGTCTCAATGTGTGCCCTGGGGGTAGGCCCCCCCATGGGATCAAACTCCTTTAGTCATCTGAGCTGTGTGGCCAGCCCAAATATGGTCATCTAAATCGAGTCTGTGACTCTAGAAATAACAAATTGTGATAGTACAAGTTTGCATTTTATGCGTGGTTATGATTTAAAAGTGAGCCCAAAGCCTGGTTGTGACGGTGCACACCTGTAATTCCAGCATACGGGAGGCTGAGGCAGGAGGATCACTTTGTGTTCAAGGCCAGCCTGAACTGCATAGGGAAATCCTGTCTTAAAAAGAAAAAAAAGTGAGCCCACAGTATGGGGTCCTTTTTTTTTTTTTCCTTAGGCATAGTAAGGGTTGAATATGAGACAGTAGACTTGACTAGGATTTGGGTCTTAGTAGATGAGTCTGAAGAGGAGAGGAGGGCAGTAGGTTATGTGCAAAGGAGGCCTTGGAGTTAATAGAGAAGAGGTTGTAGTTACAGTTTCGTTCTTAAAATTGAAATGGAAGGAGGGAACAGTCTTTGTAGTGGGCCAGCAGTTCTCTGAATGTGATGAATAGACCATGAGGGCCCCTGATGCAGGGGTTGAAACTTTTAGGAGTATAGTACTTGGACATCATCTATCCTTTGCAGTGTGCGGACACATGCACAGGTAGTGGAGAGGAGTGGTGAGAACCGCTAGCACCTGTGCTTGAATCAAGGCAGTGTTGGGCTACTCTGTGTATCGGTGCATTGATTGAAATAGGGTGTAGTGCTTGTTGGCTTTGAGTTTACTATGTAGCTTAGGCTGTCCTCCACTTGTGGCATCTTCCTGCCTCAGCCTACTGAAGGTGTGACACTATGCCTGTCTATGTTTTTTTTTTTTTTTAAAGCTTGTGACATTTAAAAATGCCATCGATGAAGCAGTAAAGCTACTGTGTGAAGCAGTAAAGACTACTATATTAAGACTATTGTGTAAAGCAGTAAAGGCTTGATACAGTCTCATTCCTGCATGAATGTCTTTTTAATAATTCTGTTTGACAAAATTGGTAGTTTTTTTTTTTTTTGTGGAACCAGGGATTGAACTTAGGCCCTTGGGCTTGCCAGGGAAGCACTTATTCTACTGAGCCATCTCCCCAGTCCCTACTGAGCCATCTCCCCAGCCCCCAAATTGGCAGTTTCTATCATGTACTTTGTCTTATGGGAAAGTTCTTAGGTAATGGGATTGTGATGTGAACTAGTCACTTTTTTCATGGAACAAACTGTGCTCTTAGATTTGTGTATTTGGCAGACATTTTCTCAAAAAAGAGAATCAAGACACATTGTAAGGGAAACAACTGGCAGTATTTTTGCCACTGATAAAATTCAAGCTAACTTAAGTGAGCTTGGTATTGGAATCTTAATTTGCCAATACCAGGTGACTTTTAATGAATGTGAACTTTTGATTACACATCAGATGTGTGAACATTTGCAAGATCTATATATAATTCAATGAGGTGTATTTTCCAGGTGTCTCAGTTACTCTTCTTTCAGTACTGGGACAAATACCTGAAACCCAACTGGAAGGAAGGAAGGAAGGGTTTATTTAGCTCAAAGTTACTGGAGGTTTTAGTCCATACTCAGCTGGCTCCAAGGCAGAGTGGCACATGGCAGAGAACAGCCTTTCATGGCAGTGGCAGAGAGCACAAGTAAAATGGAGTAGCAGCAACAATGGCAACAGAGAGCTGGTTTCTCTGTCTCTTATGTTACATTCAGGCTATCTGCCTCAGGCTGGGGAAAGTACTCACACCCATAATCCCAGCCTTGGATCACCCGTAGTACCAGTGGATCATGAGTTAATCTCAAACTCTAGAAGTCCCCACCCCATGACTGCATGAGGCTTTGGGGGGGGGGGTAAAACTAGACACAAACCATAGCACCAGATAACTAATGCCTGGGTAAAAGAGCCATTCCAAGTATGAGGCAGGTAAATGGCTTTTAATCAAATAGGAAGCAGTTTTGTTTATGTGATTTCAGATTGTCTGGTAATTGGCCTTTAACAGTTGTTGAGTTTTCGTGTAGTAGTCATTTCTTTGAAAAAGCTTTAAAATGTGCTTTCCTTTCCCAGTTACTACACATTTGTGTGAGGCCAGAATTTTATCATGTATTACAACTACACTGATGAAACATGGAAGCAGATACTATGAGAATTTAGATGTTTTGAGAGGGGGAAATATAGTTGTTCTCATTAAGATGTTTGTTACATGTGAAACTTGATGGTTTTGTATAAATAAAAACCTATCAGTTATAATTTATGACATATACATCAGTATATATAATACAAGTAAATAGAAGCTCCTTGGTCTGTTTAATAACTTCTAAGAATGTAAAGTTCCCAACAACAAAATGTGAAGCACTTATTATTTATTTATTTTGACGGAACCAGGGATTGAACTCAGGCCCTTGCACTTGCCAGACAAGCCCTTATTCTACTGAGCTATCTCCCTAGCCCCACTTGTTCTGTCATTACTGAGGAGGATTGGAGAAGCCACAAAAGTGAGAAAGCCAAGGAACTGACTAGTAGGAAGGCTGTCATAGATATGCAGATCACTGATAATATTTAAAAGTCTAGTGTTGAAAACAAAGCCAGCTCAGAGCCGAACAGTTTAGAAGGAATGGAATATGTCAGATCTTGGTTTAAGGGACCTCCAGATAGGCTCTGCAAGGTTTTAGAGTCCTGGGGGGCATTAGGTCAGTCCACTGTCTGAAAATATCTTGATCTGCTCCCTAGGATAACAACAGCAAAGAGTCTAGTCTTTCCACCTCATAGGTCCAAGGTAGGTGATCCTGATTTCTGATGGAGCTTTGTTCTAGGGATGCATATTTTCATGGTGCTGTTGTTTTTGCCAAGTTTTAGGTTATCCAGTTGGCACACCACAGCATAGCTGCATGTTCAGGTGCCCAGAAAGAAGGCAAGAAGAGCTTTTGGTGGTTAGGTGCCATCCTTGGCATGCTTGGAAACAAGGGCTATCTCTTCTTACAATTGTTGTGTCTCTAGTATGAGGTATGTGGTTGATGTTTAGTGTTAGTGGAATAAATGCACATGTATTTTGTGTTTGGGAATTGAAGTACCTAAGCAAATTTATATGGAAATGTCTAGAAAGAGGTTGGCTGTCTACTGTAGGCTGAGAATGATCCAGGTGTTGTGGGACTACTTTTTTAGATTAGGGACTTCTATCCCTTATAATTCTTGTGTTTTAATGTTGGAGGTGTTGAAGGAATACTTAACATAAAATATGGCAGGAAACTGTAAAGTTAGCAGGTGACTTATTTTGGGCATTAGTCTATGCCGATGTTCAGGGAGAAGAGAAAGGCATTTTCTTTTTGCATAGTTAACTTCTTTTGCTTGTGTATGTCTTTCTCCCTGTTGTAGGCACCTTGTTGTGACAAGCTTTATACCTGCCGGCTATGTCATGATAACAATGAGGATCATCAGCTAGATCGCTTTAAAGTACAAGAAGTACAGTGCATCAACTGTAAAAAAATCCAACGCGTAAGGTTTTATGTTTTTGCTTCTGTCTTAATCTCTTTTGTGGTAGGGACTACTGAGTTGCCCAGGCTGGATTTGAAATGTTGATTCTCCTGCCTCAACCCCCTAGAGTGCTATGATTGTAGGTATGTACTACCATGCCTGACTTTTTTGTTTTTTTAAAAAAAAAAAATCAAAATAATTTGAAACAATTTAGTCAAAAAATTATAAATAAGACTTAACTCTTAGAGTAAGCAGTGTCTTTGGTTTAAATTTGTAAAAACTTACAAAAATAAGTTAAATATACTTCTGTGTAAATTTTGATAGGTAGTGCCAGACATGATTGTGCATACCTGTAATTCCAACATTTGGGAGGCTGATGCAGGGGAATCACTGTAAATTCAGTGCTCTCCTCAACTACACAGAGTTCAAGGCCAATCTCAACTACAATGTGAGAACCTGTCTCAAAAAAAAAAAAATTAAATCTCAATATTCAAATAGTAATTCAAAAAGTTTTAGTACATTTATTCCAATTTTTGGGGGGGGGTATTTTGGAGACAGAGTTTCACTCTGTAGTTCAAGCTGGCCTTGAATTTACTTTGTAATCCATGTTGACCTTGAACTTGCAACAATCCTCCTGTCTCAGCATCCTGAGTGCTAGGATTACGGGGGTGCACCACCATACTCAGTGATGTGTTCCAATATTTATTTCTCTGTTTTTAGGCCCAGCAGTCTTGTGAAGATTGTAGCACATTGTTTGGAGAATATTACTGTAGTATATGCCATCTGTTTGACAAAGATAAGAAGCAATATCACTGTGAAAACTGTGGAATTTGTAGGTACTGTATGTAAAATATTCTTTCCTGATTCTTTCTTTTTTTGAGACCAGATCTCACTATGTAGTTCAGGCTGGCCTTGAGCTTGTGAGGGTCCTCTTGCCTCAGCCTCCCGCGTGCTGGGATTGTAGGCATGTGCCACCATGCTCAGCCTCCTGATTACTTCTAATGTACTTGGGCAATACAGTTTTATTGTTAGTGATATTTATTTTGTATTGTATCATTTTTTTTCAGGTGTTTCTGTTGTGCTTCCCATTTTAGTTTTCTGGTTAGGATAGTTGGAAATAATTGCTAATTAATTTGAACAAATTCTTAGGATACTAAAATGTCAAAAAAGAATAAGATCACTAAGGACTCATTGTATCAGATTTATGAAAGGGCTCAGTAGATCCATATTGTAATCGCAAATGGATTGAGTTTATTAAAGAAAATAGATTTCCCCTTTGTTCTGTAGGAGCTCTCTAATAATAACATAAAATATTAGTCTTCAAAACAGAATTGATTGAAAATGATCTGGACTGCGGTACAGAGTAGATGTTTTATGATGGAAGTTTTATAATTTTAAAAATATGGTAAGTACTAAACCTACACCATTGCTCAGGCCTTCTAATTTGCTAATTGAGCCCTGTGGATCTCTTGAGACTGTTGGGCATAGCCATTTTCACATTCAGTGGCATGTAGTTAGGAAATACTTGACCTACAGAATACCTGTTATGTTTCAAATAGAATAATTGTTTCATAAGTTTTTGAGTATCAACATTAAGGTGTCTCAGGTTTTAGACAAATGGTTATAGGTATTTCAGGAGGTATCATTACATCTGTTGTCGTTGCTCAGAAGTCCTTGAAATGTGTGTTCTGCAGTTGCTTTGAGTGTTGGTGTCACCTTGAAAGACCACCCTTCTGGAGGATTTGCAAAGCTTTGCTTTGATTACCCCCCCAGTTCCAGGGGTTGAACTCAGGACCTTGCGCTTGCCAGGCAAATGCTTATTCTACTGAGCTATCTTGCTGGTCCCTGCTTTGATTTTTAAAAAATTTCCTCAGGGATACTGAAAACAAAATTGGTTGAGATTGACAAATGCTGTCTTTGGACGGAAATGACATATGACTATCAATTATTATTTTTAAATAGAAAAGCAGAAATATTAGCGATATAGAAAGGATAGTATATTTATAGTCTAGTTGATAGAAACCATCTAAACAGTAGGTAGAAAGAATAGCTATGAAGGAAAATATTTTAATTTTATTTTTTAAAGAATAAAAAAATAGATAAAACATTAGAAACGATACAGAATTTCAAAAAGCAAGATGATAGGAATTCAACAGTAGTTATTATACAGCATATTGTTGTCTTCAAAGTAGTTGCTCAGATTACCAGATATAAGCATGAAAAATTGGTCAAAATAAAAATATTAAGTATTAACTGCTCCCATCAGAAAACCAATAGCAATCAGTAGTGCAATGATTTTAGCTATCTGGTGTATGTACATATTTTTTTCCCCTTCCTCTACTTCGTTTTTTTTTCCTCTTTTCCCTCATCCAAATTGTTCTTTCCTCTAAAGGAAAATATTGATGGTACATAGGAATTAAAAGTGGCTGTATCCAGACAAGGTGCATTCATACCTGTAGTTCTAGGTACTTGAGAGGCTGAGGTAGGAAAACCTTGAGTTTGAGGCAAGCCTGGGCAACATAGGCAGTATAGTGAGACTCTGTGTAAAAAGGAGGAGGAAAGCTCCTGCGGGACAGATGACTAATCAGCAAGATAAGTGTAATTTATGAATATCCAGGCTATCTACAGACCTTCCAGATACCTCAGAAAAATGGGCAGAACATGTCAACAGAAAGTCCACAGGAAAAAAAACTATACGGTTCATAAGCATTAAAATACATTGTCTTGTAATTTGAGAAATGTAGACTTGTTATTTTTTTTTATCATACATGTAGCAAGCATTGGCCCAGTTGTGAGGACAGTGCCCTCTACTGTCATGAACTGTGGATAGGAAGGTAAATTAATATTTTTTTGTTGGAGGGCAGTTTGGCAGTATCCTAATGACCGATCCAGTTGCTCCTGATTCAGTAGCTTCACTCCAGGAATCTCCTATAAAAAATGTATCTTGACAGGGATCCTTAATCTTTCATTGTGGCAACCGAAGATTGTAAATTTTATTAATAAAAGAATGCATTTAAAAGTAATATAGAGTATCTATAACATTAATACTGTTATTATGGAAGAATTTTATGTATTTGTTACGAAAAATAAAGTGGTTCATTATAGTCAGATGTAATCCCTTATATACATGTATTTTTTTTTTTTTTTTTTTTTTTTGTGGTACCGGGGATTGAACTCGGGATCATGTGCTTGTCAAGCAAGCGCTTATTTTACTGAGCTATCTCCCCGGCTAGGATACATGGTTAAGTAAAAAATTTGCGAAGTATCATGTATAGAAAGAATTGTTGTGTAAGGAATAAAACATGAATTGTATGTATCTTTTCTCTCTTCATTATGGTATAGTCAAAACAAAACAGCAGTAAGTTTTGTTCAATAGCATTCTGTTTAAAGCTTATAATTGGAGAGAAGGATGTTGCGGAGATGGGGAGTTTTTCTTTTTTTGTTTTTTGAATGTGGCCCTTAACTTTAGATGTTGTATTATAAAGAAAATATCCCTGTAAAAACATCTTAGTCTTTTGGCTTTCATATGTTTTGTTAGGATTGGTCCAAAGGAAGATTTTTTCCACTGTTTGAAGTGTAACTTATGCCTGGCTGTAAATCTTCAAGGAAAACATAAGGTATATCTTCAGTTTGCATAATTTTTGAAGTATCAAAATATTTTTCGAAAGGAGCTTGAATTTTAATGTTTTAGAAGCATGATAATTTTTCAGAAAATACCAAGTAAGTCTGTATTTCTTGCATTTTAAAAGCAGTATTAAGTAGATACTAAAACATGCCTTGAACATCTGATCAACAGTTTGCTTTATTTCTGTAAATTCTTACTGTAATGTTGACAGCCTCGTAAATCAATGTGTGCATCACTTGGTTGTGCTTCTAAAATTAGAATAGGAGCAGTGCCATGAGTATAACTTTCTGCATAGCTTTCTAAGAAAAGTTAGTATTTTTGTATTTTTCTAATACATAAAGTTTTTCAATCTGAAAATAGGACTTCTTTCATTTAAAGATACCTAATAAAAACATTTAATAGTACTGATTATACCTTTTAAAAGAAGTTAGAAAATGGGGATTGGCCTAGAATGGAATATACATCGTATTTTACAAATAGAAAAAATTCTAGATGAAGAGAACAGTGAGTAGCAGCATTGTATGTGAGAGAGCGAGCAAGAGTGAGAGAGGTAATGACTAGAAAGAGACTAAAATGACTTGCTTCATACTGTGCACACTTAGTAGGAGGAAGGGATAAGAGGGTCTTGTGGAGATATAGTAGATGCCTGGCCTGTGATGAGTGGTGAGGGAGATGAAAATGAGTAATGACTGTACAGAATATGTAACTGGATTCATTCGACTGAAGGTCCGAGTTAGGCTGTGGAGCATAGGCTGTGGTGAGCGAGGCAGGCTCGTGAGCAGCGAGTCACCTCCTGAGGTGTGGGATTGGTCCCTGGAGCAACCATAGTGCTTGCATCAGCCCACTGCATGCTCACCTCCTCGTGGGTGTGCATCACTTGAAACCTCATCTGTGGTCAGCTGTGTTGTGATCGCAGAGGTGTTACAATGCATGTGTGAGTGAGATTAACCTTATTAATAAGGAGAATAAGATAAAAGAAGTGCTTGTCCATGATCTCTTTTTATCACTGTTTTTTGACTAAACTGGTTGAACTGGTCAAGTGTGGATCTCCACTGAGCCTGGTCCTAGCCACAATGTCCATATCTAAAGGGTTCATGAATAGCCAGGCAGTGATTACATCCAGATTTTAAAATTTATTCCTGTTGAGATTTTTTGTCCCATATTGTGCTCTGCTGACTTTAAAGGGCTCTGTGTATTTTCTCCTATGATTTTTGTTGTTGTTTCCTGTATATTTGTAAGTGGTCCTGACTACTATCTAAATTCTCACATTAAAACCGAGGAGTAGTCCTGGCAGGGTGCTTTTCCTTAGCTTCTGGTATCTGAGCAAATGTTGAGTATTGAAAGCTAATTAACGAGCTCTGCAGTCAGTCTGCTGGGACTTACGTATATAAGTTACTTACTGTCTGTGTCTCAGCAAGCTCATCAGTAAAATGAAATAGTAATTTTGCTATTTAATTAATTGAGCTAATACAGGTTTTTTTCCTTGAATTTTTTTTTTTTTTGGCACATTTTATATATACATACTGATAGCATTCATCATAGGGGAATTGTACCTTGCTTCAAACAATAGTTTCAAGCAATTTTTTTTAAAGATTTAAAATTTCTGAATTTAGTTCAACTTATAATACGACATTTCCAAGAAAAATGAACCTTTTGCAAAGACATTTAAATAAAATCATACCAAGATGCACAAAAATGAAATTGTCCAAAACTTCTTGTGAAGGAAAAAATCATTAAAGCATATACATAAAAATATTAGCTATGGAAGAACAAAATTAAATAGCATCTTATTCCACATTAGAAAAAAAAGGACCAAGGGTATAAGAAACTAGATTAATTGGACTGAAAGAAAAGATCTGTCCTCTTTGAATTTTATACTTAGCAAACATACCTTTGAAAACTAATAGTAAGATTTTCTAGTTATACAAACTTGAAATATTTTAATACCTCCAGAAGTAGCATATAGGAAATAACAAAGAGCATAATTCAAAATGCAAGAGAAGTTGCATTATGCTCCTGGATGAACAATAAAGATATCTCAATATGATAGTTATGCAGGACTATATAAAAGATATATTAGATGAACCCTTATTTAAGGTCATTGTAGATTTCTATGAAACAGTACCAATCTTATGTTGGGTTATACATGTATTTTTTTTTTTTTCCATATACGTATGTGTATGTGTGTGTAAAAGACAGGGAAAAGTAATGTAAAGTCAACAGAAAATGGAAATATACTTTTTAAAGTTTCTAATACTAGAAGATATCATACAATGTCTTTTAAATAACTTGTAAATCAAAGATATAACTTTTAAACAAAAATTAAGATTAAGCAATATTTGGAAAATTAAATACTAATTAATTAAAAATTAAATGTTTCAGAACAATTGAACTAAGAAAAAGTTTTCGTGATAGCAAAGAAGTACTAAGAGTAAAACAAGATAAATACTGGAATGGCAAGTAAATGACCAGCACTCCTAACAGTTTGAGGATAGAATATCACACAAAGTTGTAGTGTGTTGTGGACATGCATAATGACTGTGACAGTTACTGGTGGCTAGGCCTCACTTGTGGAACTGAGCTACAGCTATTTCTTTGAAATCCACCCTGTAGACTGAGGTGGAATCATGACCCATAGGGTGGAAGAGAAGTCCATTTGTAGAGTTTGCTGATGGAAATATTTTGCTGCTGAACACAAAAGAATAACTGCAAGACTACTGTTGTGTACCTTTTATTCTCCTGTGTTTGTTTGCCCTATTTGGTGGGTTCTTTCCATTCTCATTCATGAGGCTGTGATCAATTTGCTCCCTCTCTAGAACATCATTTAGTAGTCTTTGTAGGCTTGGCTTTGTCATTATGGAATTCTTTAGTTGTTCTTTGTCATGGAAGTATTTCACTTCTCCATTATACTTGAAAGAGAGTTTTGCAGGATATATCAGTCTGGGTTGGAATTTGTTTTCTTGCAAGACTTGAAGTACATTGCTCCATGCCCTTCTTGACTTGATGGTTTGTGAAGAGAAATCTGCTGTTATTCTCATGGGTTTTCCTTTAAATGTGATCTGTTTCTTTTCTTTAGCAGCTTTTAGTACACTGTTCCTATGCTGAATTTCTGGGATCTTGATTATTATGTGTCTGGGTGTGGTTTTCATTGGATTGATACTATTTGGAGTTCTATATGCTTCAGTTACAGGAATGTCAGATTGTTGCCCCATATTTGGGAAGTTTTCTGCTGTTACTTCTGCCCATATTCTTTTTATATCATTTGTATTGGCACCTTCCTTCTCATTGATGCCTATTAGTCTCACATTGTTCATCTTTGCATCGTCTTGCAGGTATTAAATTATTTTATCCTACATCCTACTTGTTTTAAAGAGATCTTTTCTTAGTTTTTCGCTAGCTGCAATGGTGTCTCTAAGGTCAGAAAGTCTATTTTCACTTTTCCCTCAAACGGTTTTACCAGCTTGTGATTGAGGTTTTAATTTCCTGTGTATCACTTTGAACCTGTTTCGTACATTCTATTTTTTTCCTAAATTGCTTATTCAGGGGTTCCATCATTTTTATATTCTCCTCCATTTTTTTTTATCAGTGTATTCTTTAGAAGCACTTAGTACTTCTTTGATTATAGTTATCACTAAATTTTTTAGTTCTGAAATTATTTCTGATCTGTTTTCTTCTATACCTTTCTGCAGTTGTTTCTGTACTTCCAGCGCTATTATTTCAGAGATATCTGGCGTGTGATTTCCAGTTTTCTCAGTGCTAGTGTCTTCTGTAGTTGTACTGGGTGGACTCGGGGCCTGAGACTACATTTTGTTCCTTCTCTTTGTCATTTTGTATACCACTGTCTTCTGACCTTTGGTGTAGAGCTTAGATAGAGTTATTACCTTAGCACCAGGTCTGGATCTACAAAGTTCGGATTTCTCCAGGTGGGTGTTGTTTGGTTCTGGCTGCTGTGCTCCACTTCTTTCTGCTGCAGGCGTTAGAGTTGAATTCTTGGTGTCTCTCTGGCAAGATGTTCTGCTCCTGAATCAACTGGATGGGTCTTGCCTCTAGCCTCTTTGCAGGGAGTTCTGTTGAAATGTTCCTCACTGGGCCTGCACTCTGGGTCAAATGAAGATCCGTGGGCCCTGGGTGGTCTCACTCACTCTCCGGGCCTGTGCTCTGCATCTATTCAGGATCCCGCGGCTTGGGTCCTCTCACTCACTTGCTGGGCTTGCACTCTGGGTCTATTCAGGATCCTGCGGTCCCGGTCCTCTCACTCACTCTCCGGGCCTGTGTTCTGGGTCTGTTCAGGATCCTGTGGCCCCAGTCCTCTCACTCACTTGTGGGGCCTGCGCTTTCTAATACAGGTATTGTACTTGAATAGTATGAACTTAAATTTCTGTATGATCAGTTGTTACCAAGGTATTAATTAGTTTAGACTACTAATTTAAGGTTGTAGTTTTCTAGTAAAACACAGACTTCAAACCTTGTTATCTTAGGTGTTTTGTATTGGTCAACTCTTCCTTTGAGGGGCAAAATATCCAACAGCTACAACTTAGGGGAAGAGAAGTTCGTTTGGCTCACAATTTTCAGTGAGTTTGGTCCATGGTCAGGTGGCTACAAGGCAGAAGTATGTGGGGGAAGACAGCTGTTTGTCCCTCAGCAGCCAGGAAGCAGAGAGGGAGAACCAGGAAAAGAAGAACATCCCCCAAGTAGACCCTAACAGCAAGTCATTGCCCTATGATCCAATCACCTTCCAAACACATGAGACTTTGGGGGTACATTTTAGATGTAAACCATAACATCTTGACTCTTGTTACCTTTCCTTGTCTATGAAATGAAGGTGATTTGTGGTGTTCAGGTTTATTGAGTATTTTTATTATTTCAGATAATGTGTCCAGCTTGACCTTGTTGTGAAAATTAAAGACTTAAACTGACATATGAGAATCATATATTAATGTTAGCTATTGATTTTAGTAAGTTGGTTTTATTAGCTTTTATTATCAGTACTATAGTTACAATTGGCATTTTTATTGGTTTAAGTTTTCATTAATCTGAGTTTCTCTTTTAAACAGTGTATTGAAAATGTTTCTCGGCAGAATTGTCCAATATGTTTGGAGGTAAAGTAAAAACACTTTTTCACCTTGGAAGTCTCCCTTCTTGATTCAGGATTCTTGGGTGTTCACACTGTCTTCATATAGCACTCATGTTTTCCCCTATAGGATATTCACACGTCCCGTGTTGTTGCTCATGTCTTGCCATGTGGACATCTTTTACATAGGTAAAAAGAACTTTTTCTTGTCAAAGATGTTTGGAAATAATGGAGTTTTTGGAAAGGAAGTGGGAATTTGTTGTACTAAAATACTGTTATGTTTTCTTTCAGAACATGTTATGAACAGATGTTGAAAGGGTGAGTTATGATAAAATTTTAAAAAGTTATAATTATGTCTTTCCTTTGTGTATGTAAGGGAGTAGGGGCAAATACAGCTGCTACTTACACAGTATAGGCCTGGGAGATACTTATGCTGAGATTGGTAGGGTAGACGAACAGTGTCAGCCTGGCCAAGCCATCTTGAGGATGTGTGGCTGTACCTGAATTCCAGTTACGACTTATCTCTTCCCTCAACTCAAGAGAGATACCTCTTGTCTTTTAGCCACACTTATCAAAAACCAGGTTCCTTAATATTGTATTGTGAAAACACTGAGGAATAGTGCTAAAAATTTTGTCAGGTCATTGAATTGATCCAGTGATGAACTACAAGGAAAATTGGTAAAGAGTTTATTTAAAAGGGGAACTAAAATGAAATGAGAAGTAGCTAGGAGGAGGAGACTAAACGTATTTTGATCCTACTAATTGATGAGCAGAAATATTTATAACCAAAGAGAGGGAGCTTGTTTCAGATTTTTAGAGAGGAAATAATACAATCTGAATAACTTTTAAGGACCTCAATCTCTTCATTGCTAGGTTACTTAAGAAATTGAGGTTATTTAACTGAGGAGTAGCTCCATTAGTGTTTTTAAACATAGGAAATAGATTCTATGAAGAATGGACTGATTGTGTGTTAAGAACTGAGGAAAATTACTTAAGAGTTAAAAAAAAGTAGTGTAAGATACATGATTTAATTTAACCCTTGTAAGTGAAGTTTCCAAGGTTCCTGGAGATTACCTGGAGATAAAGATGACATCCTAGGAAGGTTTCTGTACTGTTTGGCTCACACCTTTTGCTTGTGTGAGTGACAGCTGCTCTCCATCTTCTCTTGTAGAGGCTACCGGTGTCCACTGTGCATGCACTCTGCCTTAGACATGACTCGCTACTGGAGACAGCTGGATAACGAGGTGGCACAGACTCCGATGCCATCAGAATATCAGAATGTGACTGTGGATGTGAGTACAATCTATGCTTAGAACTTCTCAGACTCTTTGTTGATAATTTTAAAAAATTTTGCTCCTATGCTAAAATTTGTCTAATAAATAATGGTGGTTAGTAAGAAGAATAACATGATCTTAAACTTTAGTATTGTTGCAAAAGAGTTCTAAGAGTATGTGTGCAATCTTCATCAACACTAGATGGCAGGTAGGAACTTGATCCTGAGTTACCCATTACTTGCTAGAGTCAGTAATGTCACTGACCCGGGGGGGGATTATTGCTGTTTTATTTGTACTTATTTTCAGTTTTATTTCAGGGAAACATAGATTTTTTGAAACTTTCATTAGGTTTGATCCCTGGTGTGCCATGCCATGCCAGCCCTGCCCCCTGGGGCTTGCTGAGACAGTCATTGAGACTGGGTATGGTGGTGCGCATCTATAATCCCAACCTTGGGGGGGGCCTGGCCCTAGCTCAGGCCTTTAAGTGGCTGTTTCCACAAAGCTGTCGGCCTCAGGTTGCTGGAGTTCGAACCTCACACCTCTCCCGCTGGCCAAAAGTGCCCTGAAGGCATTCGAGGAAAAAAAAAAAAAAAAAAAAAAAAACCTTATTCCAACCTTGGGAGGCTGAAAACAGGAGAATCACTAGGAGTCTGATCTGTGTAGTGAGACCCTGTACTAAATATATAAAAAGTAAAATGAAATAAATAAGATATTTATTTATTTATTTGGTACAGGGTCTTGCTATATAGTTCAGACTCAGTGATCCTTCTGTCTCATCCTCCCCAGCACTGGGATTACAGGTGTGGGCCACCATGCCCCGTTTCCGTAGCTGTCTCAGAGTGGGGCTGGGATAGCATGTGGTACTGAGGAGTTAGAGCTTGAGCTGCTTGCCAGGCAGGTTCTTAGACTGCTGAGGTATCTCCCCGGCCCAGCTGCTGATTTTTGAAGTTTACATTTTGATTTTAAATGTTTATTCTTTTTTATGCTTGTTTTTTATGTGTATTTTTATTCTTTTTTAATGTTTATTTTTTAACTTTATTTGATGTAAATTAGTATACAATCTAAAGTATAAGAAGTACTTTTGTGCTTTGCCTTACAGGGGTTGATCATCTATTTTCCATTCATTGAGATGTGTTGTGCTATAGTAGTTTATTTTCAGCACAGTGTTGAGTTATACAAGGGATCTAAATATATTGTGAACATTGAAATTTAAAAAAATTATTACAGTTAGGCACACTACCATTACTCCTCCTCAGAATACTTGCCTTCACTTCAAATGCGCATGTCCCATCGGCAATTCTGAAAGTCCTTTTTGTGAGTGTCTATGAGATGTGCTGAACAATACAGTGAATACAAGTGCCATCTAACAGAAAGAGGCTCAGAAAAACATTTCCATGTGACTTTACTCACCTTAAACCTGACTTGACACTGCAATTTCTGGTTCTTGCCTCAAGGCAAAATGGCCACAAAAGGTAAATGTTTTGAATCAACTCAGCCATGACAGCATAGCTGGAGACATTTATGAACAAAGACTTCAGGACCTTCAAAATGTGGCAGAAACAGTGGGATGAGTTTGTTTGAAGTTAGGGCAAGTAGTTTAAGGAGGATTAACAACATTGTTTCTTTTGCTATAATAGGCTTTTATTTAAATGGACACTTTTTTTTTTTTATAGCATCTCTGTAGAACAGAATGGGAAAGCTAGATAAGCTTTCTGGTGCTGTTGTAATAATGTTCCGACATAGGCATTTTCTAAATATCTTCAAAACTTCTTCAAATACACACAAAGATAAAAACCAGATAATAAAGTCAAATAAAAAAGTTTTGGTTTGAGGGCTGGGGAGACAGCTCAGTGGCATAAGAGCCTGACTGGCATGCACAAGGTCCTGATACTGGGGGAGAAAGATTTGGTTTGATTCATACTGGAAAGTTTCATAATTCACTGAAAAGTTATTAATATGGACAACGAAAGGTCACTTAGAGTATGAATTCATAATTATGTAATTTGTTTTTTTACCAGAAGCTAAAGTGTAGTGTAGTCCATGTAGATATTTTTAAACAATAGTTTTTTTTTCTTTTTTTTCTCCCTCAGTTCTGCATTAACCATTAGTTTTGATAAGATACAATACACACTGTACAACTCATTCCTTGCAGTATACACTTCATTGCCTTGAGTATATTCATGGAATTGTGTAAACATCATCACAATTTTAGAGAACATTTTCATCATCCCAAAAGAAACCTTGTGCAGTCCCTACTAGCAGTCGTTCTCTAACCTCCCTGGGGTCTAGGCAGTCTTAGTTTTTTGTTTTTTGTTTTTTTTTTAAAGTGTGAAATATTCAGTTTTATTAATAGCCAAGTGAGTAAAAATGAAGATAACACAAGTAATAAGATACAGTTTTTAAACTAGAAAATTGGAAAAACAATGGTGCTTCAGTGGTCTGTTCTAGGCAGTCTTTGTACATTTAGGTAATACTTTTAAAAGAATTATCTTCCAGCTTATAATTTAGAGTGAATTTGGAAAATTTTCATTTACTGTTCTAAATCTTACACTTTACAGCATAGTAGTGTGATGTATTTTATTTATTTTTTTGGTTGGTACTAGGAATTTGAACTCAGGACCTTGTGCTTACCAAACGAGTGCTTGTGCCACTGAGCTATATATCCCTAGCGCTGTACTCATCGATTTTAAGGATGACATCTTTAGTTTTCAGGATCTAAGGACCAGAAAAGACTTATTTTTAAATAGTGTTTTGTCATTTTTAGGATGACATTGGAGCCCTTCTGTCTTTACTCGAATTTAGGAAATACTCTTTTTAAGCTTGAACTTATTCCTCAGGCATAGTTGACTAAGGACTTGGCATAGTAAACCTAAAAAATTAAACATAATTTAAATTTCAGTTTCATTAAGTGACATAAATTTGACAGTGCCAGTAAGAAATAATGAAATCATATGTTATATTTTAAGTTGTAAATATGTAGTATTGATCTTATTATGCCTAGGTTAATTTTTGTTTGTAGTGTTTGCATTATTTGAGAACTACCATATTTTAAATAAGTCACCTTTTGGTCAAGGTTGCATTTTTATTTTCTAAATTCAGAGCTACCATAGTAACCTCTTAAAGAGTTTTCAGTGAAAGTAAAAAGTAATCGCCACTTAGTGAAATGTTTAGATGTAGTGTGCTTTCTTTGATATTGTCAGGTGATTATGGGCAATGGCTTTTGTATATATGATTTGAAGAACTTGCCTTGAAGGTATCTCTTCACTTTTCAGATTCTCTGCAATGACTGCAATGGACGATCCACAGTCCAGTTCCATATTTTAGGCATGAAATGTCAGATTTGTAATTCCTACAATACTGCTCAAGCTGGAGGGCGTAGAATTTCACTGGATCAGCAATGACCAGCTTGTACATCACAAGAAAATGTAGCATTTGTGATAGAAAAAATTTCTGTGGAAAAGTACTCGTCATAATCAGTGCACTAGAGCCGGTATGTACTGTCCTGGCATCACAGTGCACCTCCCTAGTACAAGTATGGATTCACGATCTCTGTAGAATCATCGTGTCATAGCTCTCTACTGGGGGACAGCTCCTGCTTGTATCTGGGTTGGAATTTCCTTTTGGGATCACTTGTTTAGAAGCCAATGATGTTTGTTACTGGAACTCGTAGCACTATGTTATATTTTCATGGCATTTTGTTTTAAGTGGCATTCCATACACAGTTCATTTCTAGTTCTTGATAGAACTAGACTTCATTCTCATTGTATTCTTTAAGGACTATGCTATGATGAGAATAAATTCTACCTTCAGGTTAAAAACTTTATATATGCTTTTGAATTTTTTAAAAGTAGTCCTTTGGGGCCTACAAATGAATTTTGCTGTAATAAGTGCTAATAAAGTTATATTACAACAGTGTTTTAAAGAGTCATTCATTCATTCAGCAGGCATTTGTTAAGCAGCTACAAAGTAACAGATGTGGTTGTAGATGCTGTGGAGACAGCTGTGAACTATGAAGACAGAAGTCCCTGCCTCACGGTGGTGCATTCTAGAGCTGCTTGTATTTGATCAGCACCTGCCCCCCACAATGGTAATGGTGATCAAAACCAGAGGCACTCTACAGCACTTTTTAAATTTTATTATTTGAGACAGGATCTTGCTTAGTTGCCTGGCTTTGAACCTGCTGACTTCCAGTACTGGGATTATATATGTACACCACTAAACACAGCATTTTGTTTTATTTTAATGCAAGCATTGGGTGTTTTTGTGGTAAATGAATAGATTGTGTTTTTCCTTAAATGTTTGAAAGTAGGAGATGGATAAAGGAGAAGGATATAAGACATTTCTGGCAAGATCTCTGATTTCATACTTTCATTGGGGTTGGAATAAATCTCAATTCAGGAGCAAAGTTAACAAGCTTGCTTGGTAATCAGCTCAGTTCTCAGTGTTAGGTTGGTAAGTAAAATGTAGACTTACTACAAAAATTTAATGAACACCAATTATGTACCTGGCTTTGAGCTGGTTGAAGCTTTTATGAGTAAAGAAGGCAGTCCTAGGATGGAAAATCCTAACAGTTCTAATCCATTTTTTCTTTGGTTGAAATCTGTACCTGGAGTAGGAAGTGGTATTGATTTTTGTCTTAAGGGCTAAGATCTTTCTGCTAGCTCTCTGTTTAGTCAGCCTTCTAAGGCAAAATTCTGGAGAGAATTATGCTTTCAGAGGTTTCTATCCACAGGTGCCTGGCACTCTTGCAGTTTGGGCCTGTGGGAGGCAGAATGTCATTCTGGGGCATGAGGTAGAGCAGAGCTGCTGCCCTCATGGTGACTGGGAGCAGGGTGGGAGGAGCCAGTATCCAGTGCCTTATTCGAGGGCATGCTGCTGATGACCTACGTCCTCCATTGTCTCCCGCCTCGTGGAGCTTCTGCTGTTTCCTGGCAGTGCTTGTGAAGACCATGTCCCCCAAAGGCCTCATGCACCATAAGGTAGGGCTTTTGGAGCATGATTGAATTAGGTGCTAGAGCTGATTTGCTGTGAGAAAGTGGGGTCTGGTGGGAGCAGGCATGTCACTGGGAGTGTGACTGGAAGGGTCTGTTGCTGTCCTCTGTTCTTCCTTTTTCTGCTTCCTGGTCCCCATGTAAGTAGCTGTCTTCTGGCAGGGCCTTTTACGGTGCTGTCTCTGCTTTAGAAGACTACAGACTAAAACTTCTCAAAACCATGAACCCAAATAAACCTTTCCTTTAGGCTGTGGTGTCAGGTATTGTGTCTCAGTGGCAAGCAAAGTGATCGTGCATAATTAATTTTCTTTTGCTTAGGAAAATCAAGATTGTAGTACTAAGGTGCCAATTTGTACCTACCTGGCTCTTAACAGTTGTTAAGAATAGATTACTTTGCATGAATAGATGCAGATAGATGAATAGATGAATTTGAAATGAATTAATTTGAAATGTCACTTTGTCTTAAAAATTTTAATTGGTAAGTATATATGTGGCGTACAAATTTTGATGTGTGTTTACATTGTGGAATGATTAAATGAAGCTAGTTAACAAGTCCACCTCACCATTTTCATGAAATAAAAACATTTAAAATCTAGTAATGTCAAAATATGTGATACATTATTTATGACAGTCACTTCTGTACAGTAGATTACTGAAGCTTATTCCTCCTAATTGAAATTTTGTACCCTTTGATCAACATGGCTCCCAGCTACCACCCTGACCCTCACCATTCTGCTTGCTCCTTTTCAGTGTGTCTTTGGGTTGTACATATAAGTAGGTCACCTGAGGCCTGGCTGATTTTGCTTGGCATAGAGTCTTCTTCTAGGGTCGTCCATGTGGTCACGAGTAACAGATTGTCCTTTTACTGCTGAACAGTATGTTCTGTACAGGACACTTTCTGTATCTAGTCATGCAGTAAGGACACTTAACTTGGTTCCTATCTTGTCTGTTGTGCTTACTGCTGCAGCGAACATGGAGGTGCAAGTGTCTCCAACCTTCTGGTTGTAGTCCATTTGGATAGACACCCACAAGTGAGGAGCTTGGGTCAGATAACTTATTTTTAGTTTTTTTTTTTTTTTTTTTTTTTTTTTTTTTAAATTTATTTATTTATTTGTGTGTGTGTGGCCAGCTCAGCCCACCAGGGGGCGGGGCTGGCTGGCATATGGTGCTGGGGGATTGAACCTTGGTCTATGTACGTTGCTAAGCTTGTTCTAAGTAGGTGCTTTAGACCACTGAGCCATCTCACCAGCCCCTATTTTTAGTTTTCTGAGGAATTGTCATACTGTTTTTTTATATGATGGATTTACTAATTTGCATCTCAAGGATAACCTTGTCTCCACATTATCATCAATATACATCTTTCTTCTTTAATGATGGTCATCCTGACAGGTGTGAAGTGATCTGGCATTGTGAATTTCACTGGTAATTAGTGATGGGCATTTTTAATATGTTTATTGGTCATTTGTATATCTTTTCAGAAATATTTACATGGTCCTTTGCCCATTTTAAAGTTGGGTTCTTCATTTTCTTGCTGTTGAGTTGAATTTTGTGTTAGTTTTGGATATTAGCTTTTTAAGAGATGTATTGTTGCAATTTTTCTCCCAATATGTGGGCTTTCTCTTTGTTGATTCCTTTGCTGAGCAGAAGCTTTTTAGTTTGTTACTATCTCATTTGTTGATTTTTGCTTTTGTTGCTTGTCCTGAGACCGTATCCAAAAAAAATCTCTGATCAGACCAATGTGGCTATGTAGTTTGAGATTTTCCATTTATGTTCATAATCCAGGTTTGGGTGATTTTTTATATGAAGTGAGATAAGGGTCTAATTTCGTTCTGTATGTGGGTATCTAGTTTTTTAGCACCATATATTGCTACTGTTCCTTCCCCACTGTGTATTTTTGGAATCTTTGTAATCAGTTGACTTTAGGTGTGTATTCATTTCTGGGTTTACTATTCTGTTCCACAGGTTAATGTGCCTGCTTTTATTCCAAAAAATGCTCTTTAGCTTTGTAGTAGGTTTTTTTTTTTTTTTTTTTTATTTAGGTTTTTTTTGAGACAGAGTCTTGTTCTGTATTTCAGGCTGGCCTTGAAATCTCTGTGTAGTCCTGGCTGGCTTCAAACTCATGGTGATCTTCCTGCCTCAGCCTCCTGAGTTCTGGGATTACAGTACCTCCCCACCTGCCCCCACCACTGTAATAAGTGTTTGAAGTCACTGTGATGCCTCCAACTTTATTCGAAATTGATTTGCTTATTTGTGACCTTAGTGATTCTATATGAGTTTTAGGAATCTATTTCTGTTAGAATGGTTTTGAAATTTTAATAAGTATTGTGCTAAATATTAATAACAGCCAAATTAACAATACTCATTCTTTCAGTCTGTGGCCATGAGATGCCATTCTATTTATTTGTTTCACCTGTGTGTTTTCTTAGTGGTACTAGGGACTGAACACAGGGCCTTCACACTGATCTGTCCTCCCGACTCCCACCTGTCAAGGGCTTACTAAATTATATAGGCTGGACTCAGACTTGCAGTCTGCAATCTGCTCTGCCTCCCAGTATGATTAGATTACAGGTATGTACCACCATGCCCGGTGTTGTGCCATCTCTTTTGTCAATGTTTTAGTCTTCAGTGAACAGCTCTTCTAATTTCTTTGGTCAGATTTACTTCTAAGCACTTATTTTTTTGTGCTGTAGTGAATCAGATTGATTTCTTTTTTCAGAAGATTGTATAGTATTGTTAATATAAAGAAATACTACTAATTTTTGTGTTCTGATTTTCATGTCCTGAAACTTTAATGAATTCTTTTATCAGTTCTAACATTTTTTGGTGGAATCTTCAGTTTTCTGTATGTAAGGTCATGACTTCTGCCAACAGATAATTTCACTCCTTCCTTTCCTCTTTGGATGCCTTTTAATTTCATTTTCTTCACTAATTTTTCTGGCTAGCCCTTTCAGTGCTATGTTGAAAGGAGTGATGAGACTGGCCATCTTTGTTTTGTTCCTCATGTTAGAGTTGCCTTTTAATATTTTACTGTTGGTTATGTTAGCTTGTGCTTTTCATATATTGTATAGTACTGAAGTACATGCCATCTATCCTTGACTTATTGGAAAAGTTTTTTTTTTTTGCATGAAAGGATAGGGGATTTTGTCAAGTGCTCTTTCTGAATGAACTGAGGTGATGATCTGATTTTTGGCCTTTGTTCTGTTAATATGGTATATGAATCAGCTTTCCTGTTGCTGGGACATGATACATGAGGCCCATACCTTAAAGGAGAGGAGGTTTAATGTGCGGTGTTGTTTCAGATGATTCAGTTCATGGTGCAGTGGCTCCAGGACATAGACATCATGGGGAAAGGGTGTGACTGAGGAAAGCTGCTAAATTTATGGTGCCCCGGAAGCAGAGCAAGGAAACGGTGCCAAAGGGGAATGAGGGTTATAACAACCATTGCTGAATTCCTATTACTTTAAGGAAATTCTGTATCATTTCTAGTCTTTTTTTTTTTTCTTTGCTATTTTTTATTTTCCTAAAAAAAAAAAAAAGAAAAGAAAAGAAAAAAAAAGATACAAAGCATCACATGATTAAAACTGAGTTTTAGGGCTGGGGAGATAGCTCAGTAGAATAAGCAATTGCCTGGTAAGCGCAGGGTCTTGAGTTCAATCTCCGGTACTGCCAAAAAAAAAAAAAAAAAAAAAAGAAAAGAAAAGCTGAGTTTTAAAAGTGAAAGCATTAAGCTGTTGGTAGCATCTTGTTCTGAAGGAATTAATGTTCTTGCTTGATTTCCTACAATGAACATTATTTACCCCCCCTTTTTTTTGTACTGGCAATCGACCTCACACTTAGCAGGTAGATGCTATGTTGTTAAGCTGTATCGCCAGCCCCATCCCATTTTTTATCTTTTTTTCCTTCCTTTCCTCTTCAGTTTATATC